ATGTTCTGGCAGGTATCACCTCTGCTGTCTCACCTCTGATGGCTGACACTCCAGTGTCACAGGTCCAGATCTGCTGATGGGGACTTGGTTGGCGGGTTGGGAAGGTGGAGGCAGAGACAAAGTGAGGGTGATGGGACGGGAAGATGGCATGAGAGGTAGGGGGAGAGACATAAGGATGGAGAGTCGGTTCATTGGCTAACTGGGGCCCAGAGCTGCACTAATGCAGGACACTAGCATTGGGATGATTAGGGTTGGCTGTTGTTTGCATTTTAACAATTTGACAAATCAGTTTTATTAACTCCAATTCGTTGAGGTTCAGGTGGTTAGGGTTAGTACAACAGAAAAATCCTGCTTTTACATCAATGTGTGACTCATGTACTTTTACTTTAAGTTACATTTCAGTGCAGGACTTTTACAGTGTAGTATTAGTTACTTTTACTTAAGTAAAAGATCTGAGTACCTCCTACACCACTGCCTATCTTTGCATATGAAGGTAAACAATTAATAATTACATGAATAAATACAGCTGTCTTGTTTGATGACAGGGAGCCTCTGTCAGGAAGGTGCTGATGCAGACTTTATGAGTCTGTCCTGGTGTGTGACAAAAGTAGCAGCACGTTGCGATAAGCGCAGTAAAGTAACTTTAGTCAGCTGTAAGGTGTGTTGATGAGCAGCATAGTTCATGCTGTCTGTGTTCTGCTACTATGAAGTCCTCCTGCATTCCTTACAGCAGATAGTGTGGACTGTTGCCAGGCATGTAGGTGTTCAGCTTGCACAGTGTGGACAAAAACTAACCTGAGTGAGATGTACTTAGGAACCGATGAGCAGTATCTAAAATAAATGTTCCTAATGATCCCTTCAGACTCAGAACTTTGGAACCAGTTGTTGGAGTGCAACCCTAGTGGTGGCAGTGGTAGTCATTTATAGATGGCCAAGACAGAAGGTATGGCTCAGAGTAGCAGTTTTTAATGTTTATGTACTTTTAATAACAGAAAACAGATCAAGAAGGTAAGTTTGAACCCCTGGCTTCTTCATATAGTAGATTGTGTAGTAGACAAATTTGGCGTTTAATTGCCCCCAAAAATTCAAAACAATAACCAAAATCTTGCATACAAAAATATATTTTTCTGTATTTGACCTCACTTTGGTTTCAGTTAACCAGTTTGAGATTTCAAAATAAAGAGATCTCTCAAATTGTACACCTTTGAGTTGTTATTGAGTGGGAGGTTTTTTGTATCGTTTTGATTTACCTCAGCTTCAGAATTCTCATTTGTATTCGTTAGGCCCCCCTTTTAAAGAGTTTAGCTCTGTTTCCCAATGTTACCACTATAGATGGCTCAAGGTGTGTACAACCACAATGCAGTCCTCACAAATAAAACCAGGCCTGTTGTTTAACAGGGAAATACACATACAAACAACTTAGTCTTGTTAAAGGAACAGTACACAAAGTAAAAAAGCATCAAGCAACAGTATTACCCACTTTTCTATCTTTTAATGGCAGCCTAATTACATCATCTGTTTCGCCTTCCATTTGATTAAGGGTATGTTGACCCAGGTTACATCATGAGTTGTTCATGTGGAGAAGAAGAATACACATTGCAGGAAGGACACCGGCAGGCATCACAGGTGGCTTTAGGAGCTGACACTGAAAAAGCCTGGCTGGCCTTAAATTCCGATGTAGATCTAGGTACTCAAAGATTCTAATCTGATGACCTAAGCAAGCAATGTAGGACATAAACATGCAAGCCAGGGCTAGTCAAGGTCTTGAAAGCAAGTAACAAAATTGTATACACAGAATAAAAATATGAACGAAGAAATGGTCTTTTCTTCTGACTTACAGAAAAAGTTAAAAAAATAAAAATAAAAATCATAATTTTTCTATTGTTCTGATTAGAAAAAGGTTTAATTTATCCAGCTGTGCACAGGACCTGTTCACCTGGTGATGAATTCTTGAAGATTGATTTAATCCACGTCATGTCTAGGTGTGGCTTTAAAGGACAAAGAGATGGTGTTGGAGGCAGAATGTCAATTTTATTGACTTTCAACCCAGTCTCACAGCAATTTGTGAAATAGTCACGAAACTTAATCTATTGATACGTGTCCAAGGACACGAATTGCCCAATTTTTTCGTGTCCCCCACCACGAATTTCAAACTAATAGACTGATTAATTTAAAGAAATCCAAACAAGCCATGGTGTTTTACCCCTATAACAGAATGATAATGAAGTGCAGCTAAACCACTATGTAGCACAGAATGGGCTGGCTAAGTGACACCACCAGTACACAGACACTTCTTTGATCAGTGCTTTTAAATGGCCACCTGAAAATGCAACTTTATCCAAATCATACAATGCCACAGATGAGAAAAGGCACTTGATTGCCCACGATTCCACCATTTGTTGACTAAAAATAGTTTGAGACACAACAGTATGACAGACAATTTGCATTATGATGCGCCAGATGGACATGTTCAATGACGTGACCTTGTTCCTCTAAATGTCCACCAACCTCGCCAGGCTCTTCAGACAGAGTTGTACAACATTCTGCAGCAGCATTGTGGTACCAAGCTACAAAGCAAGAGGAGTCGCAGATGAATTAAATTAAGGTATTTATTTTACCCCAAAAGTGACAAACAAATGTTACCAAAGCAAGTACTAAGTTCTGGGCCCATATAAAGTGGTCAAATTACAAAGAATTTAAGCTACAGTAACAAAATGATTGTATAGATAAATATTTAGAGTGGCTGATCAGACCAAATAAGTTCAACTGGGGAAACACAAAACACTGTCACTTAAAGTACCCTATAAAGACAGCACAGTTGGCCTGCTTAATAAAAATAACAATACTAAACAAATCAAAAATCTATCTAATATTCAGCATAAGTCATAATGAACTGATGATGTCAACGAATGCTAAATAAACCATGAGTGGGTTATCTGAAATGAAAAATGATGTTTTGCCATTTGTGTGTGTGTGTGTGTGTGTGTGTGTGTGTGTGTGTGTGTGTGTGCAATATGGTTGTCAAGTGTTTAACTTAAGAGAACTTAAGTTGTGCACAGGGTGATCAACTTTCATGGTCATGTGGCTGCAAGTGTGGCTATCATGAGCATCAACAATTCATATTAACTCTATGCATCTTAGATGTGTGACTTGTAACTGATTATGACTTTTGGTCTATGACCTCACTCCCCATCTGCCCGTTATCATTTACAATAGTTGTGTACTTGAGTGTACGAGAAGTGTGTACTTGGTTGTTTTATGACGTCAGTTTTATTGTACAGATGCTGTATGTTGGAACAACTTACACTTGTTTCCTTGGAATGAAATTTAGTAAAATATTACATGCTGAGTTTACAGCTGCAGGGTGGCGCAGTTGGTTCGCACCATTGTCTCGCAGCAAGAAGGTCACCAGTTTGTGTCCCGGTGAGGACACCAAGATTTTTCTACATAGAGTTTTCATGTTCTCCCCGTGCAGTGTGAGTTCTCTCCGGGTTCTCCGGCTTCCTCCCACAGTCTAAAAACATGTTGAGGTTAATTGGTGATTCTAAATTGTCTGTAGGCATGTGTTCCGCTCCTGTAACTCATGATGTGGTTAAGTGAGTGAAGTGCCACCTACTGGCCTTGTTTGTGTACATCGCAGGTGCTTAATAAAGTTATCGGGTTTGAATTTCGAAGCTGTCCTGCAACCTTGACCTGTTTTCTCTGCAAGATGCATAATCTGTAAGTTTATTCAAGTTTATTTGATTGTATGGGATATTTTTTATCATTTAGCTGTTAGAACAGCAGAAAGCTATTTTGGGAATGTCTATTTAGACTTATTTGATTTATGGTGTCTGTATTTGTGCTGACATGCATGGTGCATTATTTTTTGGGTTATTTGTACAGTGGCTGTATACTGAGAGTTATGTTGTATTTCTTTTTGTACAGATTTACAAACAAAAAGTACATTATAACACCTGAAGTCAGCTCCTGTTTCGGGTTCTTCATGGGAGAGTGTTTAGGCCACTGCATAGCTACGTATGCAAACGCGTAGTGAGGGCAGCAGAGTATGAATGTGAGTGTGTTTGGTTGTCTGTCTCTAAGTGTAGCCCTTTGATAGACTGGTGACCTGTCCAGGGTGTCCCCTGACTTCACCCTGAGTCAGCTGGGATAGACTCCAGCCCCCCAGGACCCTAGTGGGGATTAAGCGATGTATAGATAATGGATGGATAGATGCTGATTTTACATTTTTGTTCAGTAAAGTTGATCCTATGTTGAACACATAGACAACGTAGTGATGTCAGGATAGGTGAAATATGCTCCTTATTGAGTGTGCTTGTCAGGAGTCTGAAGGCCACATGTAGTTACTAAGAGCATGCTTAAGAGCCTCTTATCGGGTGCTCATTTTAAAACACACAGGCTGGAGCATTAACAAGTCAAGCGAGAGCAATAATTTCAAACAACTCTGAGGAATTTTATTGTCAGCATTAGCTTGTGTTAGCTAGTTATGGCATACCTAAAACAATCTGCTAGATACAATTGTCATTTCAGCTGAAAACAAAAACACAGCCAGCTAATAATAACAAGTTGCTCGTGTTTACTTCTGGATATAATTGAAGGGCCATTGTTTCAGAAAGGATTGTAAAGTTCAAATGGTAAATGTGCCACGCTTGTCACTGTAAGCAAACACTCTATCCATTTTATCTTCTGGAGAGTCACAGGGTGCTGGAGTCTATCCCAGGTGACTTAGGGCGAAGGCAGGATACACCATGGACAAGTCGCCAGTCCATCATACAACCATCGCAGAGACAAATAACCAAGCGGTTTAAAATCACCAATTAACCTGAGCATGTCTTTGGACGGTGTGAGGACACATAAGCACATGATGAAAACCCATGTGGGCACAGAGAGAACATGGAGAACATGCAAATGTCACTGCATTTGAACCTAGCACTTTCTGACTGTGATGCAACATTGCTAGCCTCCCCATATAATAAATAAATAAATAAATATGCTCACCATTCAAGTTTAAAAATTATGATTTATTCTATTATTAACAATGTGTTTACAGCTTGGATTCAGCATGGATAGCAACGAAGGGGTCTTCATCTTGGTTGCTGATCCTGAAGTGGGCACGGCCATCACCACCAACTTGGATCTGCTTCCCAGTGCACCTGCTTCCTTCCTTCTGGCCAGAAATGAC